TCAAATGTGCTGAATTATTCACTAAAAGTTAACAGGGGCACACATATTGGGGTGTGGGTGGGGGGTGTTGCTGTAATTTGTCACACAAATGATCAGATTTGAACTATGCTATACGTATATCTTTTGTAACAACTGTAACCTAATGGTTTATGGTAACATGGTTCAAATTTATCCGAAGATATTGGTTCTGCAGTGTAACATGCATCAACATTTCCATCAACAAGTAACATTCTTTTTTCTATTCAATTTCTCAGTCATAGATTATATTACAGAAAACAGTAAAAGTTATTGATGGGAACTGTCACAACATTTGCAGATGAGAAGGTTCTGTTGGTGTGAGAATTTATTTAATGGCATTTTTATTTTTTATTTTCATTGCTAGCATGGTGGCACAACTGGTAGAGCTGTTGCCTCTCAGCGAGAAGGTCAAATCCTGACCGGGGACCTTTCTAGGTGGAGTTTGCATGTTCTCTCCGTGCATGCGTGGGTTTTCTCTGGGTACGCTGTTTTTTTTCCCACAGACCAAAAACATGCATGTTAGGCTGATTGGTAACTCTGATATTGACCCTAGGTGTGAGTGAGAGAGTGAATGGTTGTTTGTCTCATTTGGCTCTATAAGTGCTCTAAGTATTAATTTATTATCTTTTGATTTATTTGTATTTAATACATTCTGTTCATTCATTTGAATGAATACTTTTTTGCTTAAATATTGTCTGCAACATTTAAACCAGCCACCAGGGAACAAAAGCCCACGCATTTCTTCTGCCAGTCCCAAACCTTGGTAAACATTAAAGGTTGCATCAGGAATGGCATCTGCCTCAAAACACTAACATGCGAGTTCATTCAAACAACACCATACGAAATCGGAGGAGACCTGGGTTAACAACTACCACCAGTGTTGCTGACAGACAGGGTGTTGGCAAAAATTGTGCTTCTGTTAGTAGAAGACCACAAGAAAAGAAACTTGCCTGGAGACAAGGGGAGAGGAGGAAAATCAAGAGTGTAGAACTGAGAGTAGCAACTCTAAACATAGGCATAATAACAGGCAGAGGTAGAGAGCTGGCTGACATGATGCAGAGAAGGAAAGTGCAAAGGCCAAGTGGAAGGGTAGTAAGGCTCACAGCATATGGTCATGGTTTAAACTGCTTTACCATGGTGTGAATAGAAAGAAGAATGGAGTAGGACTAGTCCAAAGGAGGAGTTTGCAAAAAACAGTAGAGCGGAAAAGAGTGTCAGATAGGGTGATGTGTCTGAAGGTGCAGTAGAAGGTCTGATGTTGAATGTTATCGGTATACTCCACAGGTTGGATGTGATGTAGAGGACCAAGATAAACTCTGGAAGGATCTGGATGAAGTGATAGACAGTATTCCCAGGGAGGAGAGACTGGTGATTGGAGCAGACCTGAAGGGACATGTTGGTGAAGGAAACAGAGTGGATTAGGAAGAGATGGGTAGGTTTGGTGTCAAGAAAAGGATCCAGGAAGGACAGATGGTGGTGGATTTTGCCAAGAGAATGGAAATGGCTGTAGTCAACATCTATTTCCAAAAGTGGGAGGAACATTGAGTGACCTATAAGAGTGGAGGAAAGAGTTTGTAGGCCGACTACATTCTGTGTAGAAGAGGAAACCTGAGTGAGATCGGGGACTGTAAGGTTGTGACAGGGGAGAGCGTGGCCAGAGAGCATCAGATGTTTGTGTGTAGAATGACTGTTGTTGTGAAGAAGAGAAAAAGAGTAAAATCAGAGAAGAAGACCAAATGGTGGAAGCTGAAAAAAGAAGAATATTGTGAGAAGTTCAGAGAGGAGCTGTTAAAGGCTCTGGGTGTAAGAGCTTGTAAGATGGCTAGGCTATTACAGCAACACTGACTAGAGAGACAGGCACAGTTCTGCTAATCCACTAATAGCAGAACATGTTTTTTTTTGTTTAGCAGATTAGAATTTTCGCTAACTTTAGAAACCGATAACGGAATTATCTTCAGCTAAATTAGGTTTCGCCAACTTTAAGCCCACCAACAAAATTCACACTCTTGTTCCTGTCAGTTATGGACGTGTCTCAAAGTGTCTGTTAGGCACGCAATTGTACATGTACATGTGACGAGATGTGATTGGTCGATACAGCATTGGCAAGCTGAAGGCACGCTATTAGTTTACTCCACGTACACATGACAAGATGTGAAGTGTTGATGTTGCTTCAACTGGAAGGAGGCAAACAGACTGAGTGACAGTCGTCTACGCGGTTAGCAAAAACAAAGAAAGAAAGAAACACGCTGGAACCACTTTCGCTTCATTCATTTATTCACAGATTGTAAAACAAGCCTAAAATAACACTTTTTTTTCTTCTTCAAACAATTTGGTCCCTCAAGCTTTGAATCAACAAAAGCAAAGTTTCTAAGAAAGCGTATAATCTTTTTCAGGGAAATGATGCAGTTTACAAACAAGCAAAGAATACAGATATAGTTGCACGTCTTTATGAGATTAATATCACAAAATATCATCGGTTACATCCTCTGAGCCTTTAAAGTGATTTCCTAAAATACAGAAAACTCTAGTCATTTCTGACTTGAGCCAAGGATAAACTATGGACATGATCAGTTCAACCCCATAAGATAAAAGATTTTGTGCTAGAATGTTAACTCTCATGCACACCTACATATGGCTATGCACCATTTGACAGGCTACTGGTTTGTATACAAACACCACTTAACCACAATGTCCCCATTTTTGACAGTTTCTATCTAAATCTAATGAAGACCATTGATTTAGTCTACCTCATGTGGCATTGTGCTTGTATACACAGCAAGCTTTGATATTTTTACATACAGTTTGCGCTCATTGAAGCCATTTTATTTGCCGTTTTGGCTTTTGATTGGTGCCAAATGCAGCCATCTTCCTCTTCCCATTACATTAGGGAGGTGGATAATAGATCGTATTTCTCTTCACATTGCCAACTAGTCACCTCATGCATCCTATGATGGCATAAAAAAGTTTACATGTACGTGGCATCAATGAAAAGACTCACAGGTCTTCATTTGTTTTCACCACCTTTCATCTCAGTCAGATGAGGAACTTCTGCCCACGAGATGAGAAAGATCTAATTTGAGTAGGCAGGGCAGTGGAATCATCATCTTTATTATTCATTCAGACTAACAGTGATTTAAATTTACTGCACGGCAACAGCTTCAAAGACTGAGAACAAGGAGATGAGGGGGAAATGAGGAGGACTTCCCTTCTCTTTTTATGATTAATATTCAGCCCCATCTTCTGCAGTAAGTCCTCTTGCTGCACATGGGAGAAAAGGAGAGCTTTACAGCCCACCTGAGAGAGATTTCACGGTCAAAAACCAGTTTACGATCAGCCTGCTGCTGCTGTTGCTGCTTGGGATATAAAGACAGATTAACAGCACACTGTAACGTTCCACTCTCTAGCCCCCAAGACATACAGCGTTATGATGATGTGACTTTATTGAAGCAGTTGCTCAGGTTGGATGTAACCACATAGAAAGATGCAAAATAGGAGTAATAACAAAGCAGACCTAAATAAAATATTGTTTTTAAAGAAGATAGCAATCGATGTGGTTTTTGATGTTCTTCTGTGCATTAATAAAAGCAAAAGGAATATTGAGAACATGTGCAGAAAGGTAACACATGTTCTGTAAGACTCATGTGTGATTAAAAAATATGTCTATTTTATAGATTTAATATTCTGCAAATATCCATCATGTCAAGTAGCTTCAATACAACTGCCATTTTTATGGCTGTAAACCTGGAAACCAAACGGTCAGCTTCCTTTAGAACTGGCAGGTTGGGTTAGTGATGCCCAAAGCTTAGTAGTAAAGCACTGATTTATTTGTGACTGAGCCGTTGGACTTGAAATAAAATGTCGAGACATAAGTGGTTTCAAGTTTTCTGTGTGGTGATGCCTGACCTGTTCCCTTTCAATATTATAGTTCAGATTTCTTTTCAAATGTGGAACATTTGTGAATGGTAATTTCTTACCTGTTGTAGATAGCTCTTTGAGTGACGTCAGTTTGGAGAAATAAAGTTGAATTCTAAAACAGATTGATAAACTAAAGTTTAGTTTAACAGAGACCAAGACTAAAGTGGATTCAAGTTTTCTATAATTGTTTGCAAGTGAAAATAAAGACAGCAGCAGCTAGCTGTAGCACTTTCTATGCAGTATGGGGCACTCCCAGCAGGAATACCACAGTATTTATGCAGAAATAATCATGTAATACAAAACTGCTGGCATGGTAAATATTTAGCATTTGAATTAATTGCTCTTAGATTTTTGAACTTGGAGTTGGTTTTAGCATTGCAACAATCTACTTTGATTTTGGCCCTCTTCAGACTAGCCACTAGCTCGTCAGTCTGATCAGAAAACCTCCATTTCTCCAGACTAATACAAGACCTGAGGATGTGTTGTGTGTTCTTAACCTTTCAACAAAATGTTAAAACATCTGAACTATCTCTTTAAGCCTGCTGCAGCTCAGTTTTCATTGTCATTTAAAGCAGTGAAGACATACAAAAATATACATTACTGCCCATTAAACAAATAAATAAATCTGAGATACAAGGTTGAAATCCTTCAAATTCTTCTTCAGCTCATCCAGTAACCTCAGGGTTACAAAACTGCATCACTGACCACCAAACTACTGTAAATGCCTATGCTCATAAAAGTAATGAAACAAATGATCAAAAACATTAAGATCACAAGCTTGGCAGCTAAGTGTTATGTTCAGTTCAGTAGATGTCCATGTGTCTAATAGCACCTGGTTTCACAGTGGATCAGTGAGAGCAGAGGTCGAACCTTCCCCCAGCTTTACTTATTAGCAGAGACTCAAAAGATGGCAGTGGAGACAAAAACTGGGTACAGGAATGAGATATGGTTATTAATAAAACCACATTTTTTTTATATTTAATTGTGGTAACTTTGTTTTACCTTATAAGTGTATTTGTATGGATAATAGTGTTATTTGGATCATTTACTTATAACATTATCTGGTTTGGTTGATTTTAGACCTATTTGAACATATTCCGTATGTGTCTAAAGAAGCTGTACATAAAAAAATACAAAGAAGCTAAAACCTAACTGAGGCTGTTAAAGCTGATCACCGTAGCCCTGCTACACTGGGCTGTGGTCTGGAGAGACATGAGTGGCCATCACCGTCACACACTCAGTGGTTGTGTCCTTGGTCTGGCGAAGGCCCGTGTACAGCCTCTCATCCAGGTTGGCAATCAGTTTGTCTGTTAGCTCTGCTGTGATAGTTTGTGGGCCGTAGCTTGAGGAATTGGGCAACTGAGGGGGCGAGCGTTCATCCGGTTCGAGAGGGTGGTCAACCGGCCCACCATCTTTTTCGGAGATGGAAGGCTGAAGTGGAAGACAAGAGGATGTGTGGTCCTCAGAGTCCGTCTCAGCAGCACTAAGCGTTTTGTAATTTCTTCCAGTGTCCAAAGTGGATGGTTCAACTTTTGGCGTATCAGGAGTGCTGCTGGGCCCGTCGCTGGCCTCCTCATCAGGAGCGCTAACAATACGGGGCAGAGTACTGTGATAGCTCGTGTCCAAAGGGTAGTTTACACTATCCCCCCTCCTCAGTGGGGTACGCTGTCTCTCAAAGGAGGACTGGAAATGCCTGACTCCAGGGTCACTCCACTGTTTGTGGCGCTGCCACTGCTTGCGCAGGTGGATTCGAGACCGATGCTTTCTCTGTGACTCCTGCTGATCAAACTGAGGGTCATGACGAAGAAACTCATGGAAGAGAGCATCTGTCTTCTCATCTATGCTGTAGTCCCGCCGGTGCAGGGTTAGTGGCTGAGGTGGAGGCTGTACAGCCTCACGAGGCATGAGCATCTGACCATAAGGCAACCAGCTCAGTGAACTAGCACCTGCTTCGAAGGAACCCCCTCCACTGGCACCTAGCAACATCTCATCTTCAGGCTCCTCAACAAGATGAGACTCAAAACTCTCACCGACTGTGCCTGTTCTCCCTGCATTTGTGAAATGATGCCTTTTCTCATGGGCAGTTCTGTCTTTGGGGCTTCCAGTGACACTGCTGCTCCCAAATAATCGCAGGTCTTCTGAACCTCGAGATGGAGCTTCTATTGACGCATAGCCACTGTCCATCTGCAAGAGTTTACGAGTCCCTGATTCTCCATCACTCCCTCTATGATCTGACTCTGTGCTTCCATGTTTTTTCTTTCTTGACTCCCTTACGCCCGACTTATCTTCCATTTGCACAAAGAGGTCCTTGTCATCCTCTCCACCATCTGCCTCATCTCCTAAATCCTGGGATGGAAAGCTGGGAAGCCCTCCTCTTTCTGTCTCTGTGCGTCCTCCCAGCGAACACACGCTGTCAGCATCACTGCAGACAGAGATTCTGTCATTGTTGCTGCTCTGGTCAGAGGCTGCGTACTGTTCAAGTGTTGCACGTAGCATCCAGATGTCTCTATAAAGTGACTGAGGATCCTGGGATTGGAGGGGATCCAATGAGTTGGCCCCTTCCCTTTTTACCAGAGAGGGGGTCTCTTCTTGGGGATCAGGGGACAAGCCAATCACCCCTGGTCCACCATGGCTGCAGCTGGGCTCCACCATCACTTCTACCTCTACCCTGTAGTGTGCACACAGGGGATGGAGAGACAAGATAAAATGCAATCAAAAATGAGATGAGTGCAACACTGGTTTCAGTGTCAAGCGTGACCCTAAACAACACATTCATCTGAAACGTTTGTTCACAGAGCACAGAATGAGTTTTATGACTGGCAATGGCATGTCTTCAAAACTACTGAATTACTGAAATTCATAGTTTGACCATTTTTGAAGTGATGTTATGTTAAAACGTTATCAATAGTACCTTATCAGTGTGACATCAGTCACAGAGCACCGAGTATGGAGAAAACAAAGACAGAGGTCTTCATCTATGCTAGCCTTTTGGCTAGCCAAACAAGGAATTGTTTAATGCCGTTTTCAAACTTTTTAAACAATTCTTTCTCAAAACAACAAACTGGTGTCAAAAACACTACATTAGCTAATATTAAAATTCTACACTTTTTCATAGTCTTGTTTAGTTTATTACAGTTTTATCAACTATGTTTTGATGCTAAATGTAGGTAATGTGTGCTGAAAGTGTGCTGAATGTCTCAATCTGCCAAGAATTGAATAAAGGATGGGACTGATTATTAAACACTCTGATCAGGTGGACTTATAGATTCAGCAGCCTATTTTAAGAAAGAGTTGTTATTTAAACCTGAAAAATTATATGAAACATGCCTTTGTGTCGTTAGCCTGTCGGCTAGCCTGAATGAAGATGGCTGGCCTTTATTTCATGCGCGGTCACTCTCAACTAATAAGGCATTAATAAGCTATTGATCATATGGGCCTAATTATGTTGTTTTAGATACAAACAACTAAAATTAATAAAACTTTCCACTACATATGGCATTGATCTCTCACCTTTGAGTTGGTTAAGTTCAACAAAACACCAGTAGCTGCTTGCTCATGACAGCCAGACAGACAACGTTCAACTTTGGAGATGTAAAATAAAGCTTTTTTGTTTTTAAATGGGGCTCTTTCTTGACTACAAATCAGACAGAAAAGAGTAAAACATTTAGAGGGGCATCATACTATAAGGAGTGCAAGATATCCGCAATTACATAAAATATAGAAAATAATTAAATATGGCCTACAATGAACATTTTACAAATGTGAATGTTGAAAAAAAAACCATCATCCAGGTAGATCACAACAAAAATGGTTAAATCGTGTCATCTGGACCATTTTTTTTTGTTGTTGTGAGAAATGTTTCATCCCTCATCCAGAGGACTTCCTCAGTCTACGGCCTGCCAACCAGATCTGTCCCATAGGTACCCTTCACTGCTGTGTTTCAAGCCACCCTCCTGTAGGAATCTCAAAAGTAGGCTTTTAACACATGCAAACAGAGCACACCCATCCAAAACAATCAGTCATCCTATACATCAATCAAATGTTTTAGCCCAGATGGCCAACTTGCTACGCACAATGTGAATGTTAGTTGTATATCAGCATTTTGCCATGGATTGCTAAAAAACAAGAGGAAAATTTATCCTTTATGGGGATTCAGGTCTCTGGCATGAAAGAGCTCTGCCGTTACAGCAACCAGTCAAATTGTGCCCTGGTCTGCGATCCCCCATTTTATGACATAATGAGACATCTGTGCTTTTTACAACTATTTGAAAAAACATCACTTCAAAAATGTCCAAGCTGCATGAGCTCCAGAGTATCTCTTGATGTTTTGGATCAGCAAATGTTATATTGTGAGCAACACATTTTTCTTTTTAATAAAAGAAAATGCGTTGCTCACAATATAAAATTGCTTGGGCTAATGTGCATGAGGCTCATCAAATGTCTTTGCTCAGGCTGGTTTCCTGGAAACGGACATCATATTACACCACAAACATAAGTGTTTACACAGGAAACTCTAATGTGTTTATCTAGAATTTAACACAGGAGCTTAAATAGTCGTTAAAAAAAGGTTATTTAGTTTTCACAAAGCTAAAACAGTGTCAAACCTGCTTTGCTATAATTGCCAACAAACAATAAAAGCTAGTAGTATTAACATTTCTGAGGACGTCATGAGAGTGTTCAGCTATGTCAGCGATGGAATGGTTCTGAGGGCTAAATATAAACGTTGGGTCCCAACTCTCCTCACAACTCTGGGAAAAAATGTGGGAAATTCCCTGCATCTGCTTGAAACATGAAATTTGATTTAAAAGATTTCATGATTATTGAAATTTCTTTACACAAGTAATCAGAAAGTAGTGAAAGGGCATTTTTTACAATTACTCAACATGGTGTTTTCAGCTAATTAAATGTTGTTATAAAAATATTCTGGAAAAGCATAAAACATATTCTATATTTTGATTGCTTTCTTTTTTGAATTTTCTTCTTTCTTTTTTTTTTTTTTTGTACCTAGAGCGGTCCAACAAAGTTAAGTCAGGTCATCTGGACGGTTTATGTTTTTGTAGAGATGTTTCGTCTTTCATCCAAAGGACTTCATCAGTCCAAAGAGCCACAACAAACTCAGTTCCACAAGCAGCACACTTACATAGTGGGCAAACCAGTTTGCTGGTGATAAGATAGTTTCTGGGGCCTGCCCTCTCCCCCGTCGACTCCTCTGAGGCAGCCATAGCCAAAGTGGTTCAAAACTACCACTGACAAGTCCTTTGGATGAAGGACGAAACATTTCAACAAAAAAATGAAATTGTCCAGATGACCTGACTGAACTTTGTTGTATTTTTTACCTGGATTATTGAGCATGAACTTTGATACCTAAAGCAATATTTTTAAAAGTTCATCGAGTGAGGGAGAACTGAGACTTGTAGAGTTGTAGCTTCCTAAAAATCATCAACACACCTTCTCTAGCTTCAATAAAGAAATGGGTGCGAGGCAGAAAAGCAGTGGACGGGATGAATGGCAAGGGAATTAAAAATACCTGCCGAGGGAGGGGGGTGGTGTAGATGGAGGCGAGAGGAGGCGTGTTGTGGGCTGGCTTGGGTAGTAGGTGACGTCCTGGGTGCGAGCGATGTACTGGATGAGGTCTATGTGGTGCGTGTCATCCTCCTGGTCCATGCTCTCACTGGCGGCTCGCTGGCGCTGGAACTGTCTCCTCTTGGGAGAGCCTGGCCCGCACCGAACACAGAGAAAGAGAAGTGAGTTTGACAAGTGGTGTGGCAGCAGGTGCACAGTGACACTTAATTCGTCAGAAAGCTCCTGTCAGTTGTTGGGATCTTTGGGTCTCTTGGTGCAACCAAAATAAGAAATGATGGGGAAGAACAGGGAGGAGTGTGTTGATGAAGGATGAGTGGAGCAGCGGGGATTAAATCAGGAGCTCAAACTGGTTTGGAACGATCAAACTTTGCGTCACTGAGCCATCTGTCTTGTATGCATGTGTGTGTGCATCCAGCTCAGTCGAAACAGTTGGTTACTGAGCTTCTTGCCCAACCATTTTTTGTTTACCATAATAGCAAGTTGGCAAAAATACAAATCAAACAAATAAGCAGGAAAAATATTAGATAAAATGGCAACTGTATGATTTATTTTTTCCTTTACCATATTATATCTGAAATGTAAAAATTTGCCAGGCTTTCTTGCAGTATTGGCAAACATCTTCCATAAAATAATGGCTCCAAAATTTGCTTTATACCCTCCATTACCTCTTGTGTCCAGACTGGAGGCTCTCTGGCTGCTGTCCAGCTTCCACTTCTTAATCTTGAAGTAGGGACTGGCCCCCTCCAGACTAGCGTGGCGTCGAAGTTTATTGAGGAACTGCAGCACAGGCTTTGGGCTCCCTGTGCTACTGCCAGCAAGAACACCCATGGCCATACCCTCTTTGACACTAGCACTGCTGCTTCTGTCCCAGGGCTTCATTCCCATCATCTCGTGCTGAACGAAGACAGACATGGCCATGCAAAAAACCTGCCATGAGCAGTAGAAGCATCTCTGACAGGGATGGTTTGAAGTTAACTTACAGAGCTGGAGCTTGTCTCTTTACTACTGGGAAGTGCAGGGTTTTCACAGAAGCTGGTGTCCACCATGGAGTTGAGAGCATCCCCGGGGAGGGCACAAGTAGGATTGACATTCAAGCTTGTCAGTGCCGTTTGTGGCAGAGGGCAGAGCATCGGCTGAAGGGAAGCACACACATAAAAGTTATCTTATAAAGCACTAGGTGTGAATGTACTGTATGTTTTTATCAATAAAGACCTGGAAGATGGAAAGTGCTGATTTAGCAACAGGGCGTGTCGTCATGGTGATAGTGTTTTCGGCCGAGTCGCACTCGTGGATGGTGACTATCTTGAGTGCCGGAGGTGGGATGTGGAGGTTTGTGAGACGCGCATTCTTCAGGTGATGGAAGTCACCTTCTGTCAGAGTGTACCTGAGGTATACAGGTAAGCAAAAAGCCATGACTGGAAGAGTTACATAGGCCGAGCACACTTGTTAAATGATGGGTGCTCATAACAGCCAGAAGATATCTGACTTCAAAACATTAAACCTTAACATTAAATCCTGACTGTAGTCCCCATTTGGACAAATGTGCATATTAAAATCTTGGTTTTATAGGAGAAAAGTGTGGCAGCAAAAGAATCAGAATATGTGAGGGTTATTGGTTTCCACAGCCTGTGTAATGCATTCTTTCTTTATACTACAACAGCACAGAAGAGGGACACAGTTTAAAAAAAAAATCATAACCATTTAGCAAATAAAGTGAGGTCTGAAACCAAAGAAGAAGAAAAAAGCATTTGGAAATGTGTGTTTCTGCTTGTGTGCTGGGCTGTTTGTCTGACCTGCGGCCTTTCTCCTGGGTTTTCTTGCCATGATCAAAGAGCGCAGCTTCATTGAAGGAGACACGGCGGCCTGTGGGGCCGGTGGACAGGAAACGCTCGGTCTCTTGGTCGTGAGAGCTGGTCACGGACAGGCAGTCTGACTCATCCACCCTGATAGTGATTTCTACCCAGATAGAAGGGGACAGCAGATATAGCACACCAGCTACAAATATTCAGGTGCAAACAGATGATTGAAAAAAAGAGACACAACATGGAAGGCAAAGAAGATGATAGAGCGCTTTAAACCAGTGGTCCTCAAACTGTGGTCCCCGGACCTCCGGGGGTCCACGAGCCGGTGCTCGGGGGTCAGCAAAAAAATATTTTTTTTTTTTTTTTTTTTTCAACCATGTGTAAAAACCCATTAAAATACACCAAAATGCAAAAAATCACATCTATTTATTCAAAAATTTCTGTGGGAGGACCCCAAGAACCCCGACACCACCCTGTCCGCCTGCTATCTGCGCTCTGACATCAATTGGTTTACAAATTAAGCCCTGCTACTTGGTATGACTACAGTAGTCCCTTGTTTATAGTGAGGGATCCGTACCCTGAAGCCCTGCGATACGTGAAAAACTGTGAAATAGGAATAGTAGTACAAGTAGTAAATACCCAGTAGTAGTTTACTTTTGTTATATATATATATATATATATATATATATATATATATATATACACAC